CCACCATTGCCTGCCTCTGGCCTATTGCTTGAGTAAGACTTTTCTACCTAGCTTCCATTAATTTTATACTTGAAATTATCGATGAATACTTACAAGAATAAATTACAACAGAAAAGGCTCAGAAGTATGAAATCATATACTCCCTAATTGTCCATTATAAACCCCCATCATTTACTAACACTGCTACTATGGGAAGAAGTGCACAATTCTCCCACCAAAATCATTAGTTCCCCAAATCATCAATCACTTCTCATAGCCATAACTTATTGAAGATCTAAAAAAATAGGTGGCATTATCTTAGGCTATCCAACTGAAAATTATGGCAATAAAACCCCAGCTTTTAATATAATAAAGTGAATAATTCATTATAATGGCTTTTTGTTACTAAGCATTATGAGTTTATGATAATAGCTAGTCTCTTATATACTGGGTTAAGAAAAAAAGGCTTGAGATTAAGTAAACAGCAGTTAACTTTTCAGTTAAATTGCATTTGGTTTTAGATAAAAATCCCTTTTGAGCAAAATTACAAAGCACTGCTCAAAGAAATCAGAGATGACACAAATGAAAAACATTCCATGCTCTCCATTATAGGAAGAATCAGTATCATTAAAATCACCATACTGTGCAAAACAATTTACAGATATAAGGCTATTCCTATCAAATTACAAATGACATTATTCACAGAACTAGAAAAAAAATCTTAAAATTCATATGGAACCAAAAAGGAGCCTGAATAGCCAAGGCAATCCTAAGCATAAAGAAGAACCCTGGAGGCACCATGTTACCTGACTTCAAACTGTACTACAGGGCTACAGTAACCAAAACAGCATGGTACTGGTGCAAAAACAGACATGTAGCCCAACAGAACAGAATAGAGAGCCCAAAAAAAAGGCTGCACACGTACAACCATGTCATCTTTGACAAAGTTGACAAAAACAAGCAATAGAGAAAGGACTCCCTATTCAATAAATGGTACTGGGATAAGTGGCTACCCATATGCAGAAGACTGAAAATAGGCCCTTTCCTTACGCCATATATAAAAATTAACTCAAGATGGATTAAAGATATAAACGTAAAATCCCAAACTATAAAATCTCTGGAAGATAACTAGGCAAGACCATTCTGAACATAGGAATTGGCAAAGATTTCATGACAAAGATACCAAAAGCAATTGCAACAAAATCAAAAATTAACAAATGGGATCTAATTAAACTTAAGAACTTCTGCATAGCTAAAGAAACTATCAATAGAGTGAAAAAACAACCTACAGAATGGAAGAAAATATTTGTGAGATATGCATCTTTGAAGGTCTAATATCCAGAATCTACAATAAATGTAAACAGATCTACAAAAACAAAAAACAAGCCCATTAAAAAGTAGGCCAAGGACATGAACAGACACTTTTCAAAAGAAGACACAGACATAGCCAACAAGCATATGAAAAAAAGCTCAATATCACTGATCATTAGATAAATGCAAATCAAAACCACAATGAGATACCATCTCACATCTCACACCAGTCAGAATGGCTATTACTAAAAAATAAAAAATAATAGAAAAGTAAATTATGGAGTATTCATACAATCAGATACTGTGCCACCACTAAGTGTAAAAAGCTAGATGTATTTATTTGTAATATGAAAAATAAAATAATAAAAAATTAAAATAAAAAATAAAAAATAACAACCATTGTGGAAAGCAGTGTGGTGATTCCCTAATAGCTAAAAGCAGAACTCCCATTCAAGCCAGCAATCCCACTACTGGGTATATACCTAAAGGAATATAAATTGATCTACCATAAAGACACATACATGTGTATGTTCACTGCAGCACTACTCACAATAGCAAAGACATGGAATCAATCTAAATGCCCATTATTGGTAGACTGGATAAAGAAAATGTGATATATATACATCATGAAATACTGCACAGCCATAAAAAAGAACAAGATCACGTTCCTCACAGGAACACGGATGGAGCTTGAGGTCATCATACTTAGCAACAGAAAACCAAACACCACATTTTCTCACTTATAAGTGAGAGCCAAATGATGAGAACACATGAACAAAAAGAGAGGTGCAACTGACACTGGAGTCTACTTGAGGGAGGAGGGTGGGAGGAGGGAGAGGAACAGAAAAAACAACTATTGTGTACTACACTTGGTACCTGGGAGATGAAATAATCTGCACAACAAATCCCCATGACATCAGTTTACCTATGTAACAAATCTGTACATATATCCCTGAACCTAAAATGAACGTTAAAAAAATTACAGGTAAAAACACTAGCACCTGTGTGAAGGTGCAGTTTCACCTATGCAGATCAGGCAACAAAAAGTTGAAAGAGATTATAGTAAACGATAGGTTAAGGGTGAAAATGCAATTTAATTTAGGCAACTTGTGTGCATTGGATTGAGAAACTTGTTTCCAGGTAAAATATGTGTGAATTAAGTAAAATTATATGTTAAATATAATTATATGGAAATTAATATATAATTAAATATAATTGTACATATATGTAATTTTTTCATCAACTCCACAACACCACTCACAGGGCCCTATCTCATAGGAATATAAGCACCAGTACAAAAGGATAATATAATTTTACTGTACCATTTGAAATACTGGCAAAACAACTTGAATGTCTCAAAAGAGGAGAATGATTCAGTAAATTATGGAATATTCATACAATCAGATGCTATGCCACCACTAAGTGTAAAAAGCTAGATGCAGAGTATTGTTATCTATTTGTACTATGAAAATATTACAAATTCATATGAATTTGTACTATGAAAATATTACAAATAAATACAATTACAAATGTAAGTTTCATACATTTGTAAAGTTACAAAATTACAAATAAATTTGTATAAAATTGTTTCAGCATGGACAAAGGTGAGAAAGGACATATACTAGATTTTGTCAATGTTAGATGGCATAGAAAAGGGAGTCCGAGACTGGGGAATTTGGAGGTAAGGAAAAAATGTAAAAGAAGAAGAGTAGAAAAGAAAGAGAGAAGGAGAAGGAGAGGTAAGGGGAGAGAGAGAGGGGGAAGAAAAGAAGAAGGAAGAGGAGGGGGAAGAAGCAGGGGGGAAGAGGAGAATAGAAAGAAGAAGAAGGGGAAGGGAAAGGGAGAGGAGAAGGTAGTCGAGAGGAGGGAAGTCAATAACAAAAATACATCACTACCAACTCTATAAAAAGAAGTCAAACTACAGATGCCCACACATGTGAAATTAGTCACTTGACTATTAAGTTACTTTCTCTCTGCATGGTGAAACTTTAAGTCATTTTCACTTTTTTCCTTATTTTTTTTTTAATATTGTATGAATTATTTTATTCATGTATTATTTATACTGTGCAAATTATCTGTTAGTATATAACACACTGCCTCAAACTTAGCAACTTAAAAACTAACATTTATTTTGCTAAAAATTCTGTAATTTAGGCAGAGCTCAGTGGGGACAGCATCAATGCCTCAGCTGGTGCCCAGTGGAGTAGAGGCAAGATGTTCCCACTGAGCTCTGCCTAAATTGCAGATGTCTGGCAGTTGATACAGGCTGCTGGCTGAGACTTGTTCAGATAGCATCTTCTCAGAGAGACCTCTCTAGTCACCCAATGTAAAGTAGTCTCTTCTGAGTCTCTACCACAGTCCATGTGTTCTTTTCTTTTCTTTTTTGTAGAGACATGATCTCGCTCTGTCACCCAGGCTACAGTGCAGTGGTATAAGCAAAGCTTACTGCAGCCTCTACCTCCTGGGCTCAATGACCCTCTCCCTTTGCCTTCCAAAGTGCTAAGATTACAGGCATGAGCCAATGCGTTCGGCTTATTTTCTTAATAGTTACTATCACTGGATGAAATTGTTCAGTCTGCTTATTTAGAATTACTAGAATGTCAACATGAATCTTGTCTGCTTTGTTCATTTTTGTTCATTTGCTTTGTTCATTCCTCAGAGCATGGCTCAAATCCTGGCACAGAGTAGGCACATAACAAACTTTTAATATACATGAGTGGATGACACTGGTGACACGCTGAACAACTTTAATCATCAATGGTTAGTGATATACTTTTGTCAAGTGAAGGCAAATACGTCGGAGAGAAATAGATGTAAAAAGTTTCACACGAATTCCATGGGAGAAAAATGGGGAGGAGGACTTGGTGTCCCACACAACATGTGGTGGCGCAGGCACACTGAACCCTGGGGAAGAAGAGGGCAGCAGTCAGTGCCACATCCACCATGCAAATGAAGGTTCAGTGTCAAACCAACAACGGTGGTGACTTTGCATTTTGCGTTGATTCCATTTGTATTGGTTTTGTATTTTCTTTGTATTTAAGGTGTCAATTTGTTTATTAAGAATTAGAATTAATTCCTAGTGTAATAGTTTTTTCACATAAAGTAACATCAAATAAAAAATAAATCGGCACTATGGATCAAGAATGCTTTTCTTTAAGAGAAGTCAGTACTCAAACTTAAGTTTGAGAAACAATGAAATAAGGATTAATATCCATAATATATTTTTAAAAACTTAAAAATAAGATAAAGACAACTTTTTTTTTTTTTTTTTGAATGGGGTTTCACTCTTGTTGCCCAGGCTAGAGTGCAATGGTGCGATCTTGGCTCACCACAACCTCTGCTTCCCGGGTTCAAGCACTTCTCCTGCCTCAGCCTCCCGAGTAGTTGGAATTACTGGCATGCACCACCACGCCTGGCTAATTTTGTATTTTTAGTAGAGGCGGGGTTTCTCCATGTTGTTCAGGCTGGTCTCAAACTCCTGACCTCAGGTGATCTGCCCACCTCGGCCTCTCAAAGTGCTGGGATTACAGGCGTGACCCACCGTGCCCGGCCCAAGACAACGTAATTTTAAAGTGGACAAAGGTTATGAACAGATAATCCACATAATAAGTAATATATGTGGTGATGAAAAATGAAAATACACCTAACTTCATTAATAAGATGCAAATTATAACAACGTGAAGCCATTTTTAACATATCAGTGTAGCAAAAAAAAAAAAAAAAAAAAAAATGATAGCACCAAGCAAAGATGTGAACAAACAGGCCCTCTCGTAGACTGTAGGTGAAAAGGTAAATTTCTAGAGGGCAATTGGGTAATGTTTTTTGAAATTAAAAATGTACATATGACCTAAAGATACCATTTTTAGAAATGTATCTTGATGTGTATAAAGACAATGTCATTCAACACAGCATTATCTGAAATAGCAAAATAAAAACAAAATAAACAAAACCAAATAAAAGCAAAACAAAAAATAAAAATGAAATTACTTGAGCTCACATAAATATGAGACCAGTTAACCAGTACTATGTTATGGCACCTCTATGCAACAAAATACAGTGTAGCTGTTAGAAAAGACACTACTATATGCAAGAATTAGAAACATTTCTATATGTTTAAGTGAAATAAGCACTTTGGAGATCAGTATGTATTGTATAATCTTACTTTAAAACTGTCTATGTTTATAAATACAAATATAAACATTTGAATAAACATAAAACAGTCTGAAGGGCACTCCACTAATTATGGTAGCTAACATCTAAAGGTGGAGAGGACAACTTTCGCTTTTTAATTTTTTCGCTTTCATGGCTCTCTACATGCATTTATAATTATCCAAGGGCATAAATGGTTTCTAAAAATTATTTTCAACATGCACACACTTTTTTAAATACAAAGGCATGTACTTTGAAAATAATAAAACTATATAACTAAATATAACATGTTTACTAAACTTCTCAGTGTTAAATGGTACCCTAATATCTAAAAGTGCCTAATAGCATACATAGTTAAGTATCTGTATTGTACATAATCCTAGAGAGGACTTATCTGCCTGAAAACTTTGTTCACCACTGTATCCTTCAACTTAAACAGTGCCTAGAACTTAATATTTGTTTAATAAATATTTACCGTATTTACAACTACATAAACAGTTATTATCTTTTAGCTTTTCATTCCTTCTTGGTCAATTCAGAGTCTGGAAATAACTTCCATCCTCCAAAGCAATTTTGCAACTTCCTCTGTGGCTACAGAGGCTAAAACAATGGTTCTGAACTTACCAAAGGCTCTAGTTTTATAGGCTGCTGTCGTTTTCTTGTCTTCTCTTGAGCTTTTGTAATGTGTCTAAATGTTAGGATTTGTGGATCAGATTCATTTTCTGTGGATGTCACATAACTCACTTTTCCTTTGGCTTTTATATTATTCAGTCTTGAAAGTGCAGAATTTTCAGCATACTCTTCAATATTTGTCAGGTCAAATTCACTATCTGTGGCCTGAGAAGTCATCCTTACTCCTGGAAAGGATAGGTGAGGAAAAAGAAAACGAAAAGTGGATCAAAAGGATTGGGGAAGAAGGCTACTGGAGAGGGACTTAAGGACTAGAAAGAGTTGAATTCGCTCACTCCCCTCAAATAAAACCCATCAAAGTTACCCCAGTCTTCCTGAACCGAGGACTTGAACCAAAGGAATAAAATATTAGAAACTGTGCCTAGGCTTCAAGAACCCCTGTAGCTAGGGTGGAACCCAGGAATTTGCATTTCTTGCAAGTTCTTGGGGGATGCTGCTGCCGCTGCTCATCTGGGGACCACACTGGTCTAGATTTGGAAGGACAAAAGGAAATGCAAATAGTATTGAGTTCAATGTTTCTCATCTCCTGCGGAACTTGTTCAAAATGCAGCTAATTCTAATACATGCAGTCTGAAAAATACAGTATAGGTACTCAAGAAGAAACAAAGGACAAAAAAAGAATTGAGGGCTAATTTCTGACACAGTGCTTCTGGAGCTTTAACGTGCAGGACAATCACTTGCAGAGCTTGTTAAGATGAAGGTTCTGATTCGTACACTTTGAGTAGCAAGGTCCTAAAACACTACAAATATGAGCCTTTTGTAATGGTCTTGCACTCTGCACCACTACGCACACTTCCACCCCATTACATGAGTGGAGATACTTCGAAACACCTTCCAACATAGTGTTAGCACAAGAGGTCTTGAATCAGGTATCGGCAGACCTAGGTTTTATATAGATTAGTGCTGGCCAATAGAAATATGAGAGCTTTGTATGCAATTTTAATTTTCAAGTAATAGCATTTTAAAAAAATAAATAGGTGAAATTAATTTTAATAATGTGTTTTATTTACCATATCCAAAACATAATCATTTAAACACACAATATAAAAATTATAGTGATATTTTCTCTTTTGCTATCACGCCTTCAAAATCCAGTGTGCTTTTTATATATGAGCACATTTCAATTCAGACTAGCCACACAAGGTCTAATGATTACTGTATTTAACAGCGCAGGTCCAGATTTGACCACTCAGCGTGAGATCTTGGACAAGTCTCTTGATGCCGCTATTGCTCACTTTCCACCCCTCTAAAATGATGGGCGGATAGGAGACAATCACTGAAAATGCCTTTCCATTGACTTTCTCTGCCTCTTTGAACCTTTCTTTATATTCTCCGAAAGCCAGGCTTTGTTTCTGGCCCAGTAATCAGAGCCCAGCCCGGAGGGTCGGTTCCCAGGACTCACCAAGTCAGAATAGAGCAACCAACGCCGAGTGTCTCCAGAGAGAGCAATGCCTGGTCTGGAGTAGAAAGTATTCGGTAGCGCGGAATGTTTCCTGTTGCGTAGCAACCAGCGGGCCTCCACCGACACACTGCGCCACTGAGTAACACGTCGCCAGGCAACGCCTCAACCAGTCACAGCTTTCGGTCCAGGAGCGCTCCAAGCAATCGAGCCAATTAGTGTCTCGGAAACATTTCCTACGTCGCTGATTGTTGGAGACTCCGCACAGACTGGTTCCTCCTCTGCGCTGGGAATTAAGTACTGTGCCAGGAGGTGTAGGCAGAGCAGCCAAAGGAGGTGGTTAATTGTTTGTTTCATTGCTTATCGACCACTCACACCCATCTCAACCTCTTACAGGAATCTCTTTTCTGTTTTCCTTCAAGAGCCTGAAGACTGACTTGACGTTCACTTTAATAGAAATTTATCCGAAAGAGTCGAGAATTTCAGGAGAGGAATGTGCGTTGTGTAGACAAATGAGGTCCCATTCTCCAAGGGAGCAACCACTGCATCCCTGCCCGACCCGCCGACTTCCTCCTGAGTGTCCTAAGGCTCAAGAAATGTGGCCTCCTCTTCCCTGAAACTCCACTGTGGCTTTCCAACTAATGTTCTTTTCCACTTGGAAGGTATCCTAGGTGTCAGGCATAGGATGAGCCCGTATTACTTGGTTCCCGTGCCCTTTCTACCAAAGCAGACCCTGGATCTTATTCTGGCGTTTAATCTCACTAAGTTCCCAAATGACTGTTGCTAATGTTGTATGGAGCGATCCCATCGAAGGCCAGGGCCCGTTGCTTACTCAGGATGCCTTATCCCAGTTACTGATCAGCAGAAGAAATCCTTTCACCTGCCTCGACGAATCCTTACACCACATGACCGAGCTCTGGTTTTCAACCTTGTCTCCAAAATGACATAATCACCACTGGAACACATCATTTTCTTTTGCTCTTTTTGGTTGCTCTTTGTTACCTTGATATTTGTTTCTTGCTGTATGTGAAGTTCTTTACATTATTGTACTCACAGCCTGCATCTTCTCAATCTTAACATATTCAGGTAGTATTTGATATGCTGGTATGATTCTCTAAATCATAGATAGAGCTAAAATGGAGATTACAGGTCACATAATCCTACTCCCCCATTTGATTAATAAGGGACTGAAGCCCAGAGAAGGCAAGTACTTTAGGTCAGGCAGCGAGTTGTGCCACAGACAAAACTAGAATGCAGATCTCCCAATCCCTAATGGGAAACTGGAAACAGCAAGAGAGTAAAGTCAGTTTAGAAAAAATTTTAAACATTCAGAAAAACTTCAAATGTACACAAAATAAAGATTAATTCCCCAGAGATGAAAAATACACACAAAACTAATTAGTCAGCTAGTAAAATGCAATCATAGATATAAACTAATAAGGAAAAAAAATTCAAAGCCAACTCAGTACATCAAAGCATAAAGTTATAACAACAAGCAATGTTAGACACACACTCAAAATAGATTTCATTTCAGATGTGCAGTGAAATTTTAATCTGTTCCCTTCAAAGTTTATGTAATGGAGACAAATCTATTGCTCCTCAATCCTAGACTCCCTTTTTTAGATAAAGATGGATTGTACACAAGTGTTACCATGTGCACCTGAAAGTATTCCAAAAGCTAAGGGGTGTGTGTGTGTGTGTGTGTGTGTGTTGTGGCGTGGTGGTGGGGAGGATTGGAAGACACATAGTTTTACAAAGATATTACTATATGAAACACTACTCATCAAATCTCTTCAAGCTTATTTTTTAATGTGGCAAGATGTTATCTTCATTGTCAACTGACCACTTACTAAATCAATGTAGACAGCTTTGTGTATAGCCTGTTATTTTTATAGTTCTTATAAATAATTGTTACAATTCATTGGTTGTTTCTTATGTGCCAAGTACTGTGATTTATACTTTGCATTTATTCTCTTAAGTACTGCTAACAAACATGAAATTCCCATTTCATAGCTAAAGAACTAGGTTACAAATGGTTACTCACAAGTTCACATCTTTAATAGTAAAAGTAAATGCAGTTAAAATTTTTTTAGCGTTAGGTTAAGATTTATATACCAGGCCATTTGTGACGGGTGCTATTCCACTAATCATTGCAATAACCTTATGTTTGAGGTATTACTATACTTATTCCACAGATAGGAAATTGAGACTTAAAGAGGTTATGTAACTTTCCCAAGTCACTTCAGAGGTAGTAAGTGGCAGAGCTGAGATACAAATCCAGATCCATCAACTTAAATTTCTATATGAATTTGAGCCCAAAATTATTGAATCATAGAATTCTGCTTCTGGATATACAGTGGACTATATCAGGGCTCACAGAAATAAGGGAATCCTCAAGGGTCAAAATAATAATCAGATGAAACCAGAGCAATAAATAACATGGAAGCTGTGGGTGCTGTGGGTACAAATGCCCATACAAAGAACATATAGCTTCAGGGATTAATGCTGAGGAGAAATAGAAGACTAGGCCTTGTTTGAGTCTACATAAAATGGAAGAGCAAACTACAGTTGCCACACACGTCTGAGACTGCTGGAAGAATTATCCCCTCAATAATAGTTTGGACTAGGAAAAAACTGGCAGTGATAAAAATCTACAGGAAAACCAGCATATTTCTACCTGCAGATCCAGGTGGAAAAAAATTGTTAAAAATATAATAGTCTGCCCCAGGAATTTATGAGTATAGACAAAACTAGTTCTGGGTTTTTAATTTATACTATCTGTGTGGTCTGGGGAAAAAATGCACGCTACTAGGAAATACTCATGAAGAGAAAGGCATCATCAACTCTGATTCCTTAGAATTCTCACAAGTTAGTTTCAGCCAAATATAAATTTACAATTAAAATAAAAAACCCAAACATACAAGAAAACAAGCCACTCCAAACAAGAGTTAGCAGAACAAACAAGACTTAAAAGGCAAACACATTATATATTAGAACTCTTAGATACAGAATACATAAACTATTTATGAAATGCTCAAGGATAATGACAATATAAAATTTAAAAGTAATGATGGGAATAACATTAGCAAAAATGGTAGAGTAGGAAACTCTAAAAGTCCATCCTTCCACAAAAGTTGTAAGACTTCAGTGACTTTAGAGATTTCAGTTACCACATGTGACAAAGTATACAGTCTTTAAATAGTAGTTTAGAAAAGTCAGCAACAAACAAATACAACCTACAACAAGCAGAAACAACAAATTCTTAGAAGGCAGGAGAATCTGATTTCCAGAGTTATCATATTATAATATTCAACATATCCGATATCCAATTTTCCACCAAAAGTATGATACATGCAAACAAAGAAAGTATGGTCCACTTACAGGAAGAAAAACTTAATTAATTATAAACTAAGATGTTAATTGTAATCATAGGGCAACCACTAAGAAAATAACAACAACAAAAAAAAATAGATAAAAAGCGAACCAAAATGATACACTTAAAAAAATCTACCTCATACAAAAGAAGGCAATAGTGAAAGAATTGAAAAATAACATATAGAAAACAAACAGAAAATGTCAAAAGTAAGTCCTTACTCATTAGTAATTATATTAAATGGAAATTGATTAAACTTATCAGTTAAAAGGCAGAATGAATAAAAAACATGACTTAAATACATATTGTCTACAAGAGACATATTTTAAATTGAAAAACACAGATAGGTTGAAATAAAATAATGGAAAAAAGATATTTCATGTATACTCTAAGCAAAAGAAAGCTGCAGTGGCTATACTAATATTAAACAAAATAGACTTTAAGACAAAAATTGTGATGAGAGCTAAAGGTCATGAAAAGAGTCAATCTTAACAGTCAGCTATAACAATTAAAACATATATTCACCTAACAATACAGCCCCAAAATATATGAAGTAATAACTAACAGAATCGAAGGGAGAAATAGATAATTAAACAATAGTAGTTGAAGAGTCTAGCTTTCAGTAATGATAGAACAATTACTGCTATGGTTTGAATGTGTCCCCTGAAGTTCATATGTTGGAAAATTAATCCTCAATGTTGAGAAGTGGTGAGAAGTGGAGCCTAATAAGAGGTGATAGGTCAAAATCGAGACCTAATGCAGAGACCTCATGAATGGATTCATGTCTTTTCCTTGGGAGTGGGCTAGTTATTGAGAAGGTTTGTTATAAAAGTGAGTTGGTTCCTCTCTTGTTCTCTCATGTACTCTCTTGCCCTTCCATCTTCCATAATGGGTGAGTGCAACATGAGGTCCCTTACCAGATGCCACTATCCTCTCAATTTTGGACTTCCCAGCCTCCAGAACTGTAAGAAATAAATGTTTGTTCTTTATGAATTATCCAGCCTGTGTTATGTATTCCATTATAGTCACACCAAATTGACTAAGGGACAATAGAAAAGATTAATAAGGAAGTAGAATAATTGAGAAATACTATAAACCAAACACACCTGAAAAACATCTATAAAATGTCCCACCCCCAAAACAACAGAAAACACTTTATTTTCAAGTGCACATGAAATATTCTCTGGGATAGACCATGTGTTAGGCCACAAAACAAGTCTCAATGAATTTTAAAATTTTGAAATCATACAAAATATCTTTTCTGACCACATGAAATAAAATCAGATATACTAGCAAACTGAATCCAGCAGTATATTCAAAGGATTGTATACCATGGGTAAGTATAATTCATCACAGGAATGTAAAAGTAGTTCAACATAAAAAATTCATAAATGTAATACATCATGTTAACAGAAGAAGAAGGGAAAAAGACAGCATGATAACTCAATTGATGCAGGAAAAAGCATCTGATAAAAATCCATCACCCTTTCATTATAAAAACATTAAACAAATTAGGAATATAAGAAAACATCTTCAACCTGATGAAGGGCATATGAAAAACCCATAGCTAACATCATACTCCATGCTGAAAGCCTGAAAACTTTCCTGCTAAGATTAGAAATAAAATAAGTATGTCTGATATTGCCACTTCAATTTGATATTGTACTGAAATTTCAAGCCAGGGAAATTAGGCAAGAAAAGGAGATAAAAGGCAGCCAGGTTGGAAAGGAAGAAGTAAAACTATCTCTATTCA